CTGGAGAAAAACAGTGTGATTGGTTATTTATCACAAAGTGGACCTGAATACTTGTACAATGTCATGGCTTTATGGAAATTAGGATTTATAATCTTATTCCTTAGCCCTCGAAATTCCAATTCTAATTTGGTTCGTTTACTTCAAGAGGCCAAATCGCATATTCTAATCTACGACCCTCAATTTTTAAAAATTTCTAAAGATGTGCAAAATGAAATAAACTATCAATATTCAGAAAAGTTTAATACCATTTTTCAACTTCCTAATAATTTAGACAATTTAGACAATTTAGACAATTTAGACAATTTAGACAATTTAGACAATTTAGACAATTTAGACAATTTAGACAATTTAGATAATTTAGATAATTTAGATAATTTAGAGATAGAAGACATTGACAATTCCGAACCAGTTATAAATGACGATAATGTAGATCCCTACGAAAAAATTATAGCCATTTTTCACAGTTCTGGTTCAACTTCATTTCCTAAATTGGTTCCTGTCTCTAGTCGTTATTTTTTAATTATGAGTTCAATAGATAAATCTGACGATATTATCTTATCAATACCTCCATTATTTCATATTTTTGGATCTATTATCGCATTAAGAACTATTTTACATCCTGGTTCAGTATATGTATTTCCAATTGTTTCAGGGCCAATTCCTTTAGTGAATGAAGTTTTAAATAGTTTAAACCAATCTAAAGCAAGTATTTTATACACTCTACCTTCTATACTTGAGCAAATTCATAAAAATTATCAGGACGAAATTAAAACTTTATCGAATTTGAGGTCTGTTTATTATGGTGGAGCAGCATTATTACCTAACGTAGGTGAACAACTTATTCAATTTGGCGTCAAAATTCAAAACACTTATGGTTCATCAGAAATAGGAACTGCTATGAATTCACTCAAAGATTCTTCTTCATCTAATATTTCAAATATTCCATGGAACGCAATGAGATTTTTAATTCCTGAAAGTGATATGAGATTGATAGAAAGGAATGATATTCTTGATGGAGCAAAAGAATTAATTATAAAAAAAGGAACTTCGACTCTCGCAAATATTAATGGGAATACAGAGAATGGTGATTATAGAGTAGGTGATCTTTTCATTGAAACACCAAAAGGTTCCGGCTATTATCTTTTACTTGGACGAGTTGATGATACTATTGTTCATACTACTGGAGAAAAAACAAATCCAGTACCGATAGAAAATACAATTCTCCTTAATCAATTTATTAAACACGTAGTTGTCATTGGACATAATAGACCGTTAAATTGTCTTTTGATAGAGCTAGATTTTGAAAGTATTAGGAAGACACCTTTTTTCGAAATAACTAAAAGTATTTTTGATTCAATTCACCATGCTAATAATGATTGTCCATCACATTCGCGAATCTTTGATGAAATGGTTTATATCTTACCTTTTGAAGGAAAATTATTATCTCGAACATTAAAGAATAATATTCAACGTAAAAAAGTTGAAATAGAATT